GACTATCATGTCTAGAATTAGCTTTCCTCCTACTCCTACACATTTTGTTTTTTTGAAGAGCCAGTTGCAAAACACAAAATTAGCTTAGAAAATCGAAGTTCAAAACATTAAAAATATGATCGTCGAGTATTAAATGCGCCATCATAGCTACTTGCAAAGTCATAGTCAGCTCTGTGTTTATTTTTCACGTGCACCAAACTACAAGTTTGAACTTTTCACTCATAGAGTCGGTTGCAACTTTCAGAGTTGGCTTTCTACATTTTTTTTTCACCATAGCTAGCTACAAAATTGTAGAGTCAGCTCTCTGCACCAATTTCAGCATTTTTGATATATTTTTAGTGCAATCTTAGTTCATTTACTTTTGCTATCTTTTAGGTGATAAACTACATATTTAAATGTACAAATAAATCATTCAAATGTGTTTTATAATGATCAAAATTATAGATACAACAATTTAATGACTACTTTTGTATGGATTAAGTAGGTTTTTGTGCTTTTGAATTGTTAAAAAATGTTTCTATTTGGGATAATTATGGAAAAAGGTGGTTTTAACAAAATTATTTTAAAATTATACCCTGGAATTGCAAGATTGTGCTTGGGCAGCTCTAAATTAAGACGAAGATTATATAATTATAATATTATATAATATTTTATAAATTAATGAATTATTATATAATTATTTTTATTTAAAATTTAATAATATTAATATATATTTATTTAATAATATATTATAATTATAATTTTATAATTTTTTTTATAATATTATAATTATAATATTGTTTATTTTCAAAAATTATGCCTAGACAAATATCTCCAAAAGGAAAAGATGTACTACATGTTTCTCTTTTTATTTTTTGAAAAGGGTAAAAATTCTCATGAACTGGGTTTTAGTACATGGGCCTTATTTATTGGACCTGACCTTACCTGACACCGATCAACGGACTCATCTTCCTCTTCTCACGCTGCTACTCTCCTCCTCTCCCTCGACTCCTGAAGAGGGTTTTAGCAGAAAACTGAATAGTTCCATCCTTCCAAAATGGCGACCAAAACCCTAATCAAGAGCGGAGCTTCGCTCTTCTCCCGATTGATATCAAGTCCGGCAATCAATACCAACCCCTCGTCGACCAACCGGATTACAGCGGAGGCCCTCCGAATCACTCCACAGCTATTCCCATCTCTCTCAAAGCCCGAGACACAGACCTCTCTCCATTTGCCCCAGAACGACTCCGAATCCGTCTCTAAAGTCTCTTCTCTAGGGTTTCTGTATCCCTCCGGTCTGCCTTCTCTCCGCTTCTTCTTGCCCGACGGTACTCTCTCTCCCCCTGCATTTCTCAGCATCTTTATTTGCAATGAATTGTTTGATATCCTCTATTTATTTGTTGCTTGCTTTGTATGAAAAATCGTCAGTGGTTAATTTCAGTGAATTGAGTCTTCCTTTGGTTGCTGAGAAACAAAGTGGAAATGAGTTATGTCATAGTTATGCTCTTAAGAATTTCTATATCAACTTTAGTTTCTTGTTTTGTCTTTGAGCAATTGAGGAAAACCGAGAAATTGTAACTTTGAATGCATAGTTTCTCTCTGTAGAGTATAGATGTAAAAAGTTCTCGAATTGAGTACATTCTGGTGTTTTATTAGAAGATCCTGTTTATGTGAGAGGATGCTACAAGGATGAAGAATTGAGAACATCCTAGAATATACTTAATAACTACTTCAACTAACATGGGTGGAAGTAGGGTGAACTCTCTGTGGATCTAGAACAAAAACTATGCATTCTGTGGATTCGTATTGATAAATGGACATACTTTTTATTCTTTTGGTGTTGGCATTGAATAAATTAAGACAATGCTGATCCAGAAAGTCTGAACTCTGAACCTATATTTTGGATGATTTTGAACTTGCGCTATCAATTGGAAATCTTGTTGCACCACTTCTCCCTGATCAATGTGTAAGAGCTTCTCATCTCCATGTCTGTTTGTTACTGTTTAACAGGAAATCTTTATGTGTTGCTTAAAGGGTTCTGGTTTCTGGACAGTAATTCTTGTTTATATGACAGATGCTGTTAAAAGTGAGCAAAGAGCAATCTATTAACTGTTCTGAGTGGAAGATTTTAAGTTTTTAGTAGAATTTTAAGGCAGTTTGAGTGATAATTGAGTAATTGTAAATTCGTAAGCTTTTATCTCTTCTCATGATTTCTACGTAAGTGGTCTATGTTTCGTTTTGTAGGAGATTCATCAAGTGAGCCAATGCTATTATTTCCCAAAAGGACATACCAGCCTAGCCACATCAGGCGCAAAAGGACACATGGTTTTTTTGCACGGTACATCTCTCTCTCTCACTCAGTGACCCTTAATTCTAGGTTTTTTCTGACTCTTGGAATTGGTATTAGAGATAGTGATTAGGCTTGAAAACACAATTTTAAGAATCAAAATGGGTGGTCAAATATCATCTTTCATTGTTAAATTCCTTTGCTGCCAGATTTGTGTAGTCTAACTGTGTATGCACTATTGAGAATATTAGATCAGTCCTCTAGTGAGACATGATTTATCAAGAAGTTCAGGACTGGTTTGTTGTTGAACAATGAGGAGTACATATCTTGGAGGCTTTCTTTATAATGGTCATTGTTCATAGCTTCTTGTTGGAAGATCCATTTTTTGATCCTTTTTGTTTAGGCTGTTCATTCTCTTTTTATCCATTCTCCTTTTATCTATAAACTTATAAGTATCAAGACTTGAATAATTAATAAACTTTCATGCTTGGGCAGCAAAGCAACCAAGGGTGGCCGAAGAGTCATTGCTCGAAGAATAGCAAAGGGTCGTGCTAGAATAACAGCTTAGCCTCCTTGTTACTATGTTTTGATCAAAATCATATTGAACACTGCCTGAACCATGGTAAAACTGAGCAAGTGTAGAGCCACTTTATGTTGGCTTTGGCCCTCTTCATGATACCTAGAAGAAAATATTATTCTGAAAGGATGTTATTTTTCTTAAGTGCTCTTTGATATAAATGCCTAGATTATTTTCTCTGATATACTTGCAAGAAGTTATTTGTTGGACAAAATATTGCGCTCAAATATTTCTTATTTGAATAATCTAA